GAAGCGTAAAGACCGCTTCTACGGCTCATATGACACAGCCTGCCTTCTGTGAACCAAGGGAGAAACGCTGGACGAACAGAAGGACCGTGCCAATGATGCCGTGATTATGCACGAGCTCGCAGTTGGGCACTGCCGGATGCCAGATTTCTTCGTCAGAAAAATATCTGTACTGGGTGTGTATGTGTTCTGTCCACACGAAGCGAATATCCGCTGTCGTGGGCTCATACACAGTTTCTAGGGGGAGGGGTGTGTGAAGGGACCTCTGATCATGAACCGAAAGTGAACTGCTTGTTGCTTTGAGTTTCAAGCTGCAATTAGCCACTTGTCTAATGGCAGCTGGCTCACAGTGTGGGAAATGTGTGCTTGGTGTGGCTGGTTCGACCGAGACAGGCACCGACAGCATTTGTTCAACAACTTCCACAAAAGGAGCAACAAGATTTCACACACAGATTTTTTTCGACCCATAGCTTACCAATGGTCCGCTCTGACCGACGAGGGTTGGCCAGCAGCAATGAAACCGCCTGCTAGATGTCATTAGCTGCAGCTAATGTGGTGCAACATGGACACATGGGGTCTCCCTGGTCAGCTGATTCAGGGACAGACCCCATGTCAGCTACAAGTTAGCTTACCATTAGCTACCTGAGCTCAACGTTAGCCTGATGGTAGCATCCTTGTCGCTTAACGATCGCTTGCCTCACCGCGGCAACATAGCAACGTTGAGGCCGGCCAGACCGGCGTCACCGGAGGTCGGAATGGGTGAAGCGGGGAGCCACTGGCAGATTCCTTCTCATCTGATAGCGACAGGTGAAGGGCTTCATCAAGAGAATGGGTGGACCGCCACGCCACCTCGTCCTCACCGGCAAAATGATCCGCCCGCCGCTGCTTCTCTTCGGGGGAGAGAAGGTCTCAGAACGAGCAGCGTGAACCAGGGGTGAGCGCTTGGCCGGCTTGCTACGGTCCAAGGCGCACCCAGCATGGGGGATGGAGGTCCCCCGGCAGGACGAAGCCCGTGTCACGGACGCCGCACACCTGTACTGATGTATATACAAAGTGCGGACCTAGGAGAGGCCCACGCTGTGGGTGGGTGTAGACAACTGGGTGTAAACCCAAAAGCGATAACCTTAGAGGGCGAAGCCTACATGAAACAGAACTGACCTGATGTCTCAAACTAGATTTAAATAACTCAAACTGTAACATAAACCTGTACGATGGTTACATTATTCAGGAGAGTCCTCTGAGTATAAATAAGTATCTACCACAGAGAAAACTGAGCAAACAAACCTTCTTCCTCCACCTTCAGGCTGTACGGCAGGGAGAGGCTGCTGATAGTCTTTAAACCACAGGTGTACTTCCCAGAATCCTCTGTGGTCAGGGGACCGAGCTGGAGGGCGGGGCCAGACTCTGAGAGGGCGTGGCCATCTCTGAACCAGGTGACCTCCAGTTGGTGGAAGGTACAGAGTGCAGTGCAGTACAGAGTGACGGTTTCACCTCTTCTCAGCTCTCCGTCTCCTCCGGAACTGTTTATCTGCATCTGAACATCTGAATGAGTTTAAAATACATTTATTATAAAATTCCTTTTCAGTTCGTTTTTAGCAAAGTGATGTTTAAGTCATGTTCGAGCTCAAAGTCAACATTTAAAGTCACTCACTGATGTCTTCAGTTAGGTTTTGTAGAGCTGAAATGATTAGTTGATCAACAGAGAATTCTAATGGAACACTTTGATAAAGGATTTATTATAATCTGTTGCTTATCAAGCACTTATGTCAAACATTGGATTGATCGAGGCTCTGAATGTGCAGATTTGCTGTGTTTTGTTGTCTTCTCTGACAGTAAACTAAACATTTTGGATTTTGTTTGTTGGTCGGATGAAACAAAAGATGATTAGACGTCAGTTTGGACTCTGTTTTCTGACATTTTGTTGACAAAACAATTAATTGAGAAAATAATCTGTGAATGAATCAATAATGAAAACTAGAAAAGCAATTCCTGAAGAAATTGCGGTGTGAATGCTGTCTTCAGTAAAACCAGATGTTATTGTGACTTGGCCACTGACAGATAACATGGAAAATGTGAGCCAAGAGTGTGAAACACTGTCACTGTTTCTGCACCACAGTCCATTATAAACCACACATTAGATAAAGTTTATACAAACACTGACAAGAGAAACACATTAGGCACACAGGGGCGGATGTGGATCAGGAGGTAGAGCGGTTTGTCAATCAGAAGGTCGGTGGTTCAACCCCGGCTCCCCTTGGCTGCGTGTCAAAGTGTCCTTGGGCAAGATACTGAACCCTGAATTGCCCCTGGCGGCTGTTCCGCCAGTGTATGAATGTGTGTGAATGTTAGTTTCTGTTTGAGCACTTAGGCTCAGTGTATGAATGTGTGTGACTGGTGAATGCAGATGTAGTGTAAAAGCGCTTTGAGTGGTCGAAAAGACTAGAAAGGCGCTACATTAATTCTGTCTTTGATTATGGACCCTCGCCAAAACTGCTCGCCAACAATAATATCTGGCCTGCTGCCAGATTCTGGTGCTTTGATAGCAGCAAAAGATATAAATAAATAGATTGGTCTGCCTGGTCTTGCAGTCTCGAGTGACTGCTCTATCAACCAGTAGCTGGTGCTTGGCTCCCCTGGTATTACTACCCATTCCCTTCTGGGCCCAGTCCATGTATTGAGCCATGTGCCTACTCATCTTACCCGCCATGATGCCTGACAGGAGCTTCCATGTTGTGCAGAGGCAGGTTATTGGCCTGTAGTTGGATGGGATTGTTCCCTTCTGGGTCCTGTCCGTCCTTGGGTTAACCATTCTGGGTGGGTCCCATCCATCAGCAGTTGGTTCATTTGAGATGTCGGGCGTTCATGGAGTGCAGTTAGTTTCTTCAGCCAGTAGGTGTGGATCATGTCAGAGCCTGGTGCTGTCCAGCTCAACATACCTGCCACTCTTTCTTGGAAGTGTGCTGTTGTAACAGTTACTGGATCTTGTTCTGGGAGATTGCTGTGATCTGTTCTTAGATCCACTGAGCATTGGTGTTGTGGGATGCCTCTTTCTCACTGACTGTTCAGTCTCAGCCCTGGGTGGATCTGATCTTGTGTTAGTACCCTGCTACTGAGAGTACACTTTGGATGGTTCGGTGGAGAACATCCGGTTTATTCTCCTGGCTTCTCTTCTTGTATCTCTTTAGGCGGGTAGCCAGAGCGGTACGTCTTGGTTTAGCAGTCTCCACAGCTTCAGGTATTGTTGCCCCTTCTTTGCACCTTTCTGTAGCTCTGAGAGCGGACTCTCTATATTCTCTTTCACCATCTAATGGTTGAAAAAAATGCATTGAAGCGAAACTTATTTGTCAACCCCTGCAGTATATTATTACTACTTCTTCTAACATTTATATTCAGTGTAGTGATGAGTGTCTGCGCTGCCTGAATTCTACAAGAAGAACAACGTAGCGATGAAACAAGTTCTGTAGAGCAGTTTGTCCGTTTTCAGCTACTGTAGAAACATGACGATGCAACATGGTGACGTCCCTGTAAGAGGAGCTGCGGTGTCTGTAGATAAAAATGTCTCATTGTAAGGTAGTAAAAACGTAACGGTTCATTATGTCAGGTCTCTATACACCACTGAAAACAGAGTTATGGATCTTATATATATCTTCAGAAATATTACACACTGAAAATTTAAAAAGAAAACCAGGAATTTAGGATTCTGGAGAAAAGTAAAACTGATTCCACTGGGCTCTACAACAGCAGTGTTTTAAAATCAATTTGTGACAGACAGGAAGCCGGCGTAAAGACGTGTACAGTGTGGCACGTACATGTGTTCAGACCACACGTCAACATGCAGCATCTGCCGCTGCACATGAACTGAACAGATCTTTCTCTCTTAAACACACACTCACTATTTCTCAGTTTTTTATGAATTAATTAAAATCCAACGTCTATATAATCATGAACGTTTTAAAAGCATTTAACTTTGTGTGTCTGTGTGATAGGTCATGTCAAGATAATTATTTGTCACATTCAGGGATGATGAGACTACGTGTCTCTGAACTGAACAGCATTTCCTCTTGGTCTCAGATGAAGATACCAACGATGGTCGTTCAGTCTCGGCCTCAGGTGGCTCTAACGACCATGACGACTGTCGTTACCACAGCTAGGAGCGCTAACGAGCCAGCGGTATCGACGATCCTGGCAAACGACCCCACTGAGGTCAAATAGCGGAGAAGGGACGAAACGTCTTCTAGCATCTTCAACCAAGTCCAGTTGTCCTGGATTTACACCTTCTTTGGATACGTCTCTCAGTTTGTCACATGCAGTCACATACTGTTCAGTTTTGCTCTTAAGAGGAAGTGGCTCTGCCTCAGCTGTTGAGCGGCGACCACAGACTCTTTCATCTGTTTGCAGCCTTGTGTCTTCGGTCACTGAGTCTCTGACACTGAAGGAGATACTTTGCCAGTCACATTGATAGTTTGAAGCACAATAGATTATTTAATTAATAATCTCTCTCTCTAAATCCAGTGTCCGTCAGCGATCTTGTATTTCTGCTCTGATTCTAAACAAAAGGCACTTTGCATGTTTCATGAGAACGAAACTGTCGCTCCCCCTGAGGTGCAGGTGGTTTTTTGTTTCTCTCCCTGGTTGAGGAAGGTAACAGCAGAGCTCAACACCTGCTCATTACAGCTGTTGGGAATTAGTTATTATTATTTAATAATTATTAATAGAATATAACTAAAATAAAAAATCACCTCAGAGCACAAAAAATGACACCTTATTTAGTCTCATAAAATAAACAGAACTATTAATTTGGAGCTCTGATAACAATTAAATTCATAAATATAGGCAAAATTACCAAAACCTCCTGGTAGGTTGACCGTGTATTCACTCTAATGCTCTATGTTTGAACTTGTAATTTTTCTGTGTGTGGGCGTTCAGTGGTAGTGTCTACATTGTGCTGGATGTGTAATATTATTGCAGTTGTTTTCTACAACATTATCATGTGATGCTCTTACCAGAGACTGTGACTCTCACTCCTGGAGGTCCAGTAAAATGTGCTCTGGTGTAGTCAGCCTCCATTCTGAAGCGAAGACTTCCCTCGTCTTCCTTCTGCACATCTGTGATCTGTAAAGTGCAGTTTCCCTTCTTGTCTCCCAGGTATTTGTAATGAGGGTTGTTGTTTTGTGAACTGCTGTCAAACACAGACGGGGCAGGGAACTGACAATAATCATCGTTCTGGCACCAGACGACTCTGATGATCTCGATTAAAACTTCTCTTCCATTCTGAATGAAAAACTTCAGAGGTGTGAAGGTGCAGGGGAGGGTGACAGTCGATCCTGTCACAGCACAAACAGGAGCTGGATAGTTCACACCAACACCCACAGCACCTGGAACAACACAGCGCAGTGATGGCGGCTGAGTTCAGGGAGGAAATATGTGGATTTAGAAATTGCAGAGTGACTGCAGTGAACTTGACCTCCAGAACTGAAAAAGAAAACTAACGAACAGAAAACATTAATGTAAAATACAATAACATGGACTCTTTATAAACGAGAAAAAGGTCATAATCTGAGTGCAAAGTGAAGCACAAGGTGTAAAGGTGCTGTATGTAGTCTCTTAGTTAATCATAGATGTGTTCTGTAAACAGTACATTTACATTTAACCAGAGAAAACTGAGCAAACAAACCTTCTTCCTTCACCTGCAGGCTGTACGGCAGGGAGAGGCTGCTGACGCTGGCCTTCAAACCACAGGTGTACGTCCCAGAATCCCTTGCAGTCAGAGGGATGATGTGGAGGGCGGGGCCAGACTCTGAGAGGGCGTGGCCATCTCTGAACCAGGTGACCTCCAGTTGGTGGAAGGTACAGAGTGCAGTGCAGTACAGAGTGATGTTTTCACCACTTCTCAGCTGACTTTCTCCTCTGGAACTCTTTATCTGCATCTGAACATCTGAATGAGTTTAAAATACATTTTCATTATAAAAGTTCTTTTCGTTTTGATCAAAGTGATGTTTAAGACTTGGCAGAGCTTGAAATCACCATTTAAAGTCACTCACTGAGTTTTTGTGGTGCTGAAACGAATACTTTTGGTCCCCGTGGATACTTTTTATTATTGTTAGTATCAGTATATGAGTATTAAGAGCATGAAACATGAGAGGACCCTGTTGAAACTGAAGGAATTCTTTTTCTTTCTTTCTGCAAATAAAGTGAATTTATGAAAACTCGCAAAAATTTACCCTGACTTGCCGCTAGGCTATACAAATACAGAGCTTTTACATTTACATATGTTTTCGCGCACGAGTGTCACAAATGGGCTCGCTAGCGCCCCCTGAAGAACAGTCCCCGGACCGTATGTCTCCAAAATGCAATATTATGTAGCTGCAGCACCGGAGGCTGCAGTTTCAGGCCCCCCCAATCCTGGGACCGCAGTTCTTCTGTGACAACGCCATCTAGTGGAGTGGTGGTGGTAATGCACAGCAACACAGAGGAGGTTAACCCTGTGTGCTAGCAGCTGTAGGGTTAACCGGCCCACATGCAAATAATCAATAACTTAAGTTTAGGCAGACACTCGGTGATGGTTAGGGGAAGAGTAATCAGCTTCGAGGGGCTGTCAAGAGTAACATAGCCAGCCAGCTAACTGGCAGTATCAAAGTAAACAAGGGTCCTAGATGTGCTGTTCCGGTCCATGGATTGTGGTCCTGAAACTGCAGCCTCCGGTACTGCAGCTACATGCTACTCCCAAAATATATTAAATTTTTGTGGCAGATCATCATGTCCAGATTTATAAAAAAGTGTCTTGGAGCGATACCCTAAATCAAACAGGAAGTCAGCCATTTCCATTCAGTGCAGTTTTGTCCTATTTATTGCTCTTTACAGTCTCTGTACTTTAACAAATTCCTAACAGAAAAAACCCGATCGACTTCTAATTTTTGCTGAGCAGTTTTTGTTGTGTGTGGCCTGAATATCGATGATTCGCCATGACACAGGAAGCTGTTATAACCTCAGTGGACACGCTCGATGCTTGATTAGAGTCCCGCCCTGAACACATCTATCTTGGGGACACAGGAAGTGATGATCAACTCCTTCTTGATGAGTCCAAATGCGCGATAATTCAAAGCCGTGTGTCACGGTCTTCGGCCGCTGCTTCGCAGTTGCGGCACAGCCTGACGCGCGTCACGAGGTGAGGGGTGTCCAACCAGAGAGGGGAACACTTTGGATCACTGTTACACCACAGTTAGCGGTGCCTATCACGCCGTGACACGCGCTTCACTGGGACACTGTGGCGTCCTACATCAACACAACACCAACACGCACCAGGGGGAGTTAGAACAATGACAAACCCTGGTTCACAGCTGATGGATCCGGTGGTGGTTTGCACTGAGCAGCTTTTAGCTGTTTGTAACTAAAGGGGAACAGGCTGTTTCTGGCTCAGTGCTACATAAAGGCTGAACAAAATATAAATAATTATTAATATATGTGATGCTCTTACCAGAGACTGTGACTCTCACTCCTGGTTGTCCAGTAAAATGTACTCTGCTGTCATTAGCCTCCATTCTGAAGCGAAAAGTCGCCTCGTCTTCCTTCTGTACATCTGTGATCTGTAAAGTGCAGTTTCCCTTCTTGTCTCCCAGGTATTTGTAACGAGGGTTGTTGTTTTGTGAACTGCTGTCAAACACAGACGGGGCAGGGAACTCACAAAATTCATCGTTCTGGCACCAGACGACTCTGATGATCTCTGTAGAAACTTCTCTTCCATTCTGAATGAAAAACTTCAGAGGTGTGAAGGTGCAGAGGAGGGTGACGGTCGATCCTGTCACAGCACAAACAGGAGCTGGATAGTTCACACCAACACCCACAGCACCTGGAACAACACAGCGCAGTGATGACGGCTGAGTTCAGGGAGGAAATATGTGGATTTAGAAAATGCAGAGAGACGCATTAAAATTGTCCTCCAGCACCGAAACAGAAAACAAATGACAGAAAATAATAAAAGAGCGTTTTCAGAGCTGCAGCTTCAGGAGCAGAAATGTTTCTGGATTTAATCAGTTTGATGCGAAAAACAAAACTGAAAAATTATCATATAAAGATATGTTAAACATTAAAGTCATAAAGTCCATGTCTTACCAGTCAGCATTAACAGGAAGCCCCAGAGAACCTTTTTGTCCAAAACTGCCATCCTTAGGTTTTTAATGAGCTGATTAAACTTTCTTCTTGTTCAAATGATCAAACTGCAGCAGAGCTGATAAAGACACCGACTGACTGTGAAACTCAGAGGCTGATATAAATGTCTTTGTGGTTATTATCTTACTTCCCCTTTATTTTCTCACATAGTCTTATAACCTTCTGCCAAGGCCCAAAACTCCAACCGCTCCAGTGGAGCTGCTCAGTGGCCAGCAGACCAGGCTGCAGTTGTACCGGTCAGCTTCCAGGTGTGAATGTGTTACAGTGTGAATGTGATCAGGGCCTTCCTGCAAATGAGAGGCGGCTCTCAGTGAAGCTCCCTGAGTAAATAAAGGTTAAAAAAAGATGCGTCATCTGAAGATAAAGATAGAAGAAAAGTAGGGATAAGATAAAGGTTTGCGTTTGGTTCGCTGGTCACTTAGCCAGATCAGGTGACGTTTGTTTAAATTCAATTTTTCAATTTTATTTATATGACGCCAAATCACAACAACAGTTATCTCACAGCGCTTTTCATAAAGAGCAGGTCTAGACCGTACTCTATGATGCTATTTACAGAAGCCCAACAGTTCCCACCAAGAGCAGCACTAGGAGACAGAGGCAAGGAAAAAACTTCCTGTAAGAGGCAGAAACCTCGAGCAGAACCATGACTCAGGGTGGGCGGCCATCTGCCTCCACCGGTTGGGGGTGAAGGAGAGAGAGAGAGAGAAAGAGGAACAGAGAGAGGGATGGAAGGAGAGAGAGAAGGGAGGGAGGCAGCCTACACAATATCCACACAGAGGTACAGACAGTAAAGGTGATGTTGCTATAGACTAAATGAAAAATGGTACAGATATTTATAATAGTGTTAATGGTAACAGTCGTAATGTTAATGATTATAATAACAATAATAACAATAAGACTAGTAACAATAGTCGTTGCAGCAGAGGGTGTCGAGCAGGAACACGGGGGCAGCAGGTGACCCGCAACCACAGATCCAGACTCCACAGCTCCAGAGCCAGAAACACCTGCAGGAAGTGATAGGAGGAGAGAGGAGAGGGACGAGAAAGCACAAGACTACCAGAAAGGGGAGAAGTTGAGTTAGTAACATGCAATAATGGGATAAGGTTGCATACAGAGGGAGAGAAAGTAGAGGAGAGAGGAGCTCAGTGCATCATGGGAAATCCCCCGGCAGTCTAGGCCTATAGCAGCATAACTAAGGGATGGTTCAGGACTACCTGAGCCAGTCCTAACTATAAGCTTTATCAAAGAGGAAAGTCTTAAGCCTACTCTTAAATGTGGAGATGGTGTCTGCCTCCTGAACCCAAACTGGAACCTGGTTCCACAGGAGAGGAGCTTGATAGCTGAACGCTCTGGCTCCTAGTCTACTTTTGGAGACTCTAGGAACCACAAGTAACCCTGCATTCTGGGAGCGCAGTGCTCTGGTGGGGTAGTAAGGTACTATGAGCTCTTTAAGATAAGATGGTGCCTGACCATTAAGAGCTTTGTAGGTAAGAAGAATGATTTTAAATTCTATTCTGGATTTTACTGGAAGCCAATGCAAAGAAGCTAAGACAGGAGAAATATGATCTCTTTTCCTGGTTCCTGTCAGAACACGTGCTGCAGCATTCTGGATCAGCTGAAGAGTCTTAATGGACTTTTTCGAGCAGCCTGATAATAAGGAATTGCAGTAATCCAGCCTAGAAGTAACAAATGCATGGACTAGTTTTTCTGCATCATTTTTAGACAGGATGTTCCTGATTTTCGCAATATTACGTAGGTGAAAAAAGGCGGTCCTTGAAATTTGCCCAATGTGAGACCCAAACGACATGTCCTGATCAAAGATAACTCCAAGATTCCTCACAGTGGTGCTGGAGGCCAAGGCGATGCCATCCAGGGAAACTATATCTTTAGATAATGGGTCACGGAGGTGCTTAGGCCCCAGAACAATAACTTCAGTTTTATCTGAGTTTAACATTAGAAAATTACAGGTCATCCAGGTTTTAACATCCCGAAGGCACATTTGAAGTTTAGCTAACTGATGAGTTTCATCTGTTCAGCTTTTCATAAAGTCAGTCTGCTCATCAATGTCACTTTTGGTGACCCAACCAATCACAGCCTGTATGGGGCGGGACTTTAAATAAAAAGGTTTGACCTGCTACAGCAAACTTTGGAAGTGTTGAACTCATTGTTATGCATCAATGGTTATGATTATTGATAATTTAATAGACCTACTTAACAATACCATTAACAAATTAGAGCCCAATGTAGAACATCTTTCTAGCACAAGGATTTGAAATAAAAACAACCCACAAAAATTAAACTGCTATAGCTGGAATTAATATTATACTAGTGGTAAGCTATGAAGTACTATTATTTGATATTTTAATCAATATAGTAACATTTTATAATTAATATATTAACAGTATAAAATGAACTCTATTCGTTTAATGTTATAATATTATCAATGAACTAATTTCTACTAGTTCCTCCTCCAGGTTGTGGAAGGAGCCTCTGCAGAGGACAGATGTAGATTTAGATGCCAGTGTGCCAAAACGTGCTCCTTCTAGCCGCTTCCTCCTCTTCAGAGCAAGACGCTGACCATTCTTCTGTTATAAATATCATCATATCACAAGTCTCTTTGCCACAAGCTCATTTCATTTTCACGAACTACAGCTATTTATTGAATAGACAGAAGCAGAACAGCAGAAGAAAGAGAAATGCCCAAGAAGTTCTGTTAATGAATGAGTGAGGGAAAATCTGATGGCGGAGAGTGAAAACGAGAGAAAGCGCTCCGTTTCTTTATTCTCATGGCTAACTAAAACAGCAAGTTATTATTACCAACACTTTGTTACGGAGGCTAGAACACCCAAGTGCAGGACTAAGAGAGGGAGGAGTTAGAAAAAAAAGGAAGATTTATGGCAGCGTTGAAGGGATCAGATATTGAGCAGGTGAAGAGCGAGGCAGACTGAAGACTAGATGTTTGCA